CAGGTTGATCGCAAAATTCGGGTGCTGTCGTATTAAGTATTTCCCACACAGTGCATCCATCATTGAGGCAGTAAAGTCGTTATTAAAAAGCTGGACAAAATCGTCTAACTCGACCCAGTGGCTACGGATGGAGAGTGCCTGCAGGCGCTCTGTGAGGGTGGATTGAAATCTCTTTACAAAAGGAGCGAAGCCTGCCCCAAGGAGTAGACGTTGGTTAGTATGTCGGATCAGATACTCAATCCGATTCTGTGGCTTAACATTGCTTTCGGGATAAGGTCTCGGAAAACCCCCGGAGTTGTCATGGGCGTAGATCCGTAACGCGCTCGGCGGAAGGCCGAAGACGCGCCGCAGAAGGATCGCATGTACGGCAAATAGAGAGAGGCTGCGTTCTTTAAGGATGGAACCAATGGTTTCCGTGCCTTGGAAGATGTAGAGGGTTTGCGTCAGTATCCGTGCACGGACGGGTCGGGAGTTCCACAGTAGGTGCCTGTACGACATCAGCCACTTGTCCTATAAGAAGCGCTGGAGTCATACTTTGCCGAGAGGACAAAGCCTCGAGGGTTCCACAGCATCTTTATTGGAAATGTTCCCAGTGGTGGTATTAAGGACGGCACCAATGGGGGAATTTTCATTCCTCGTTTGACTCGAGGTTTCTCGTGTAGTGCGTGGATACCGTACCAGTAGTTCATCAGGCAGATCCCAATAGTGGCAATGATGAGATATGTGACATATATCTCTTTAAGAGCCACAAAGAAACTGGCAGAATGCCACAGTTCTCCGGTATGATAAGACATGATAAAGTGCGGGATGTAATGTGAAATGATAGAGTTGATCTTGCGAATGCATTATAGAAACGGGGTAACGAAGCTTGACTGGTCTATTTAAATGTTATAGACTCATGGACCGGTACATAGTCATCTTGGGTGTGAGGAGAAGGGCTTGCCGAGGGCTTCGGACAACCGCTCGCTTACGTGAAGGTGTACATTTGATCCAGGCAATTTGTATTAGAACACAATGTATCTGAATAGCCTGCTTACCTCTATCCCTGTGCTGGGAACTAACCGGTGGGCAGTGTAGCATCTGTCGGGGTCCATTCCATTTCGCAAAGCTTGCGTCGAGACGGCCGAGAGATACCGCGAAATCCTCTCACCCTGGACATTCATGTGAAGCATGCATCATGCGTGAGGTCCTGATAGTGATTGATAGCACTGCCACCGGAAGTAAATTGGGACCGTAGTTTCCTGTCAGCCTTTTCATGCACCGTGTAAGACCTCTTCCACACTCCCATAGGCGAGGAGATTCTTACCGCAGCGCGCAACAGCGATGGTAAATGTGTCCAATGATAGTTTAGTATCAGTTGAGCGATACCACGAGGCCCATGTGAAATATGACGACGGCCACCCACTGTATTACGTAGTGACATCCACGGCCCCCAACCTGTCACGGACCTGTATGCAAAGGATCATTAAAACCAACAGTTGCTGATTCCTTCCGATTCGCCTGTTAGAGCAGCCTTATACGGTAACAGAAGGGTCAGCGGGGCTGTGGGTCGTCCTGATGTGGGCGGTTTCTGACCAGTTGTTTGTGGGGGGAGACGGCCAAAAATCCTCGGTGCTGGAGGTTCCTGTCGGAGGCTCTTGTAACCGGCCTATGATGGCTATCCCTCGTATGCTTAGCAGAGATGAATAAGAGGCCATGGAGCGATGTATTCTTGGCGTTAGGAGTGCACAGGCATGTCAGATGAGGGGAACTTGCGCTATCACAACCCGCTAATGCACACAGGAATTGATGGCGTATTTTTACCGGCCAGGAACGTCAAGCGGCCACACGGTTCCTGCCGCTAGTGCTTATGGGCGTTATGCTTTTCTGCCTTACGGGGTACGGCTCGCATTTGTCTTTCCTAATACAGTGACCGTCTTGAGTATGGTGCATCTCAAACAACATGATGATCCCTGTGCGAATAGGTATTGTTGGGACAAGTCCAGCTCGCTTCTCAAACTACCACCAATCATGACCACGCCAACCGAAACATTCATCTAACCAGAACTTGTCTTTAATTACTCGGATAAAAGGATACTTCCAAAAATAAACGGCCAGGTCTTAACCAGAGGGTCCCGTTCTCGGAGGTATATGTCTCTCGCGCATTTGCCTGCAGTTCCACACGTTGACTAGATATCAGTCTCCACGATGTTAGCCTCATGATACCATGATGTGGAGCGGGTCGCAGTAGGTGGGTGATGGATATTGCGGATAGTCATTGGGCGCAACTGACCTAGAGCAATTCCCATGACCATTGCCCCCTGATGAACTAGATAGATGATGGCATGGCCGATAGTGAACGGAACAGAGAGTAGGAAGCAGAAAACAAGCGCCTGGCGTGACACATAGAGAGGTACAGATGTTGAGGCAGTAAACAAAAGAAGGGAAAGGCTGAGGCTCAAAGAGGCCATGATTTCGTGCTGCGCGACGTACGCCATTGGGTGACGGGGCCAAGGAGGAGCATGCTAGATGAAACTGTGACAAGCCTAGTACTGCCGAGAACGCTATCTGGCGTGTGGGAACTGTGGGTGTTTCTATTTAACCTAGTTTCTTGGGGCTCATGTTATCGTTCCATCCAAGGGTGTCTCAAATGTGAAATTGGCCAGCCGTGCCTTGACCATTTAGCGGCGACCTACCGAGTTAAGTGGAGCACGTTGTATCTCTACCCTTGTCTAGCGGCCCGCCCGACCAAACGCGGCGCCATGATCGTCATGGTGTCTTAGGAAGGTGATCGACCAAGCCAGGCGGGGTTGGCACGCTGTGAGCAGCATGTCAGCTTGCCATGGTGCATATCTTTGGGCTCCAATGTTGCCTTGTCGGAACAAGAGACCTTTCCGTGGATACGCATACTTTGCACAGCCGCTTCTCATGCAGTCAGAATGCAGCCCACTAGTTATAGTAGCACGGGAGGGAGGGGTATTGAGTGAATTGATCTCATTTTCTAAATATTATCGAAAGGCTGAGAATTTGACCAGGTTCATTCGATGCCGGGTAGAACCACCCTTAATGTCACCCAGAAATTCCTAGTGTTAGCCAGCCCTCCACATGCACTGCCATCGCGTTACCTCTGGGGCGGGGCTGGTTCCGATTAGCATACCACGCGGGATTAGTCTAAGAGGCCGAGCGAGCTTCAACGTCCACATGTCGCTGGGTTTCATGGACGTCAAATTCTCTTGTTGTAGATTGGCTTGCCAGCACTTCCATCTCAGAGCCATTGCCATAGAACCAAGTGCTAGACATGTTATCTGGATGGCGCCGCTTTGGCGATGAGAAAGACTCCTGCAAAAACCTTTTCACTGAGAATGGAGGGGGCGAGTGTGTTCGATTTTGCGCCACAAAGAATGAACGGAATGAAACTGCCGCTGCTAGGAAAACTCCCACCTCGGCGCTTAGAAACTGCCAGTATGTTTCCCAAATAGTGTCGACTATATCGCGGTAGACTAGTCCAGAAACTCTGACGATTGATAGTATAATCATGACAACTGTTAGGCAAAGGGACAACGTAAGAATGATTCTTTGAGTCCATCGCACTCGGATTTTCCAAATGACATTGACGGGTATTGTGAGAACTAACACACGTTAGCTATTGAACGGTGCGGCTACTCTGCCAGACTAACTCAGAAAATCTCCCAGGGTATCCAGCACCATGAGGATGATGGATTCTGCCACCACCTTGCCCTTCTTTGACCCTACTGAACAAGTAACTGTATCGCGTAAGCGTCAAATCCAGCCCATGGAAAGAGCATGCTTACATTGCCTCATGTCATAGTAATAGGGGCAGCTGAGGAAAAAAATCAAGGAGCCGTAGATGAGAACCGCAGCTGTGTATACCGTAATCGCCCACCAGTAGATCTGCCAAGGCTTGATTCGGTCGATGAGCTTTTTGAAGAAAAAGAGGAAGCTTAGCTTAACAGCACCGAAAGCGCACCAAGAGACTGTCAGGCAAATTGCACTCCACTCGTGGTACACATAGCCCACTTCGATGATATCCGCCGGAACAGCGACGTCTTTCATTTCAAGCTCCATCGCGACGAGAAGATACATAGGATCTATCACCTTGCGATACATGATTACGATACTGGCAAGTAGGAAACAGAGAGCCAGCACAAGCAACCAGTCATCCACAGAGAGTCTCTGTCTCTGTACACGGAATCGGATGAATAGTCGCATAAGCACGCCCAGAACTGCCGGGGCGAGGAGAACTGAGATCGAGATCTGGACTAGCGGTTAGGGCAGGGATGGAGGCACTTCAATTCAGATACTCACAATGAAAGAATCCCTAGGGATTCTTCCTGCATAGTCTTGAGGCTGCATGTTGATACTTCTTCAATGCTCGCTGGAAACGGTCGTGACTGTGTCGAGTGAATGGCAGTGTCTGGCAGGCGCTTTAAAGAGAAGCACCCGAAGGCAACATGGGACCGCGCTTGGAGAAGAGGTCCCCGAGCAACCTGCTGGGAGAGGGTAGGCATTGTAATCACCCGACTGCCATGGCCACTGAATGGTTGGATTCGAGGCCTGGGAAGACTCACAGTAGCATGGGTTGAATTTTGCGCTCCGCCCCTCCCTCGACGGTTCCTTTTCCATCCCGGTGCTCCGAGTTGATGCACCTCTTCCCCGGCTGAGCCTTGCGGAAAAGTTCGACCCCGCTCCAAACTTTCAATGTTGCAGATTTAGAGGTTGTCTCATTATCACCGGGGATAGTCTTAGTGTAGACGATACCCCTGTACTAGTGGCGGGCACCACCGTCGGGCAAACGGTATCAATGCTTGCGCAAGGCTGATACCAATCAATACCTTACCATACGGGCTGCGCCCACCACGACTTGTCACTAAACACCATCACCCCTGCTAGTACAGCCTTTAGCTAGCCTACGTTTTCCCCAACCATTTGCTGGCGCTTTTTAATCCCCTTCCCCTAATTTCCTTCTTCCCGTCCTTCTCCCTTCCCTCCATCATCGCATACCTGTCATCTTCCACTTCCTTTTCCTTTCCCCACCCCTTTCTGTACTGCAAGCCTTTCTCCCCAATGCAACGTTTCAACTTTCAATGGGAAGGCCTCGGCGGCCGCATCGCCATCGCTTCGGCGGTGACCTGCCTCATCTCTTTCTTGTACAAGATGGTGAAGGTGCGACTGCACATGTATCGTCTCAAGGAACAAGGAATGGTAGGTGCGTTCGCCTTGGATTCGTTGCTCTCAAAATTAACCACTCTGTAGCCAATGCCCCCCTGGGACCCTATTTTCGGCCATCTGCGAATCATGCCCGGTCTCGCCAAAAAGTGTCCCAGTGATGCTCTGCAGTCCCAGACATTCGCTGTTCTCTCCATGCAGTATCCGGGCCTGCAAAACGGCTTCTATATCGATGTTTGGCCGTTTATGTGCCCAATGTTTGTTTGCACTACCCCTCCGCTGGCCGTGCAGGCTTGCCAGACCCATAATTTGCCCAAGCCGACAGATCTCCTGGCTCCTTTCATTAACCCCATGTCGGGTGGGGATACGTTTTTCACCACCAATGGGGCAGTGTGGAAGCATGATCGCGACCTGTTCAACCATGCCTTTAGTACGACGGTTGTGGTTGGCCACGTAGATTATATTTTAGAGGAAGCAGAGATCTACGTGGGAATTCTCCGCGAACACGCCATAAAAGGTGACACTTTTTCAATGGACGACCTTGCTTGTAGTTACATGATGGATGTCATTGGTAACGTCGCACTGTAATAACTCCCTATCTTAGCACGAGTTGTGAGCCCAGTCACTGACAGAATTGACAGAAATACACGCTTCAATTACCAAACGGGACACAACCCTATCGCCGCTGCAATGCGCAGTACCATCGAACTTGAATGCGGTCGGGAAGGGGAGAACAACCCTTTGCGACGCTGGAATATCCACCGGCTGTACCGTCAGTGGCGAAACAGCCGGATCATGGAGCACCACATTGGCCTGGAGCTGGAGAAGCGCTATCAGGAATGGCTGCAGCAAGGCGAAACGGCCAAAGCCCGTGGAAAATCCATCATGGATATTGTTATTGCCGAATATATGAAGAACCGACCGACAAGCCAAAGCCATACCTTGACCCTAGACCCTAAATTCAAATCTTGGGCCATCATCCAAATCCGCCTGTTCCTTTTTGTCGGACACGACTCCACCGCCGTGACTATCATCTACTCTCTTTACCTTCTCTCCAAACACCCCGACACTCTCGCCAAAATCCGCGCAGAACACGAACAGATCTTCAGTTCCAAGGCTGGTAGTGTCTCAACGCAAATCAAAGCGCACCCTGAGAAGACTAATCAAATGCCCTACACTACCGCCGTCATTAAAGAGACTCTCCGTCTTTTCCCACCAGCCAATGGCCTCCGATTTGGCCGTCCGGGCATTTCCCTTACCGACACCCACAGCACCGATGGACGGACTTTCCCCGTTGATGACTGCGCCGTCTGGATTGTGCATACCGCTATCCAACGGAACCCAGGGTACTGGCCCCATGCGCACGAGTTTGTCCCCGATCGCTGGCTCGTTGAGCCGGGACATGAGCTCTACCCCCCGACGGGCGGATGGCGGCCCTTCGAGCGTGGTGCACGAGACTGTGTGGGGCAGAACATGGCTATGTTGGCTATTAAAATTACTCTGGCTATGTTGGTGCGGGAGTTTGATTTTGATAGTCAGTATGAGGAGTGGGATCGTAAGAATCCGGCGGCTGGCGCGGTGCGGACAATGTTTGGGGAGAGGGCGTATATGGTTGCCAAGGGCGCGGCGCATCCGGCTCAAGGGTATCCGTGTAAGGTGAGGTTGGCTGTGTAAGTGGTATGATTGTTAATCATGATATGTACATTATAGGTGATTAAGATTGTGTCTGTAGACGAATCATTTGGTTGAAGGGTTTCTATTGTAGCATGAGTTCAAGTAGATGCTAAAGCAGGGTATAGAATTGCTGACTATCCTGTATTAAGATTATAATAAGCTGTGTAGAAAACCGCCATACACTCTTGACTTGATTGGAGTGGGCAAAGAAAGATAACAGAAGACCTGATTCAGATACATGACTCCATTGTAGGCTTTGTTAAAAACCGACTAATATTGGGTTTGTTGCATGTGAGTGAGCTGAGTTGCAGGCACAATGAACTACCGGCATTGATCTTCCTCCACCAGAAAAGTCCCAACTAAAAAAGCATCTATGCTAGAAACTGCTTTAGCAATAATTTGTTTTCGAATCTTCCTCCTTTTGGCCACCTCCATCTACCGTCAAGAACCAGTTAACCCCACCCGTAAACAATTAATGATCTCCTGTTACCTACCAATAACTATATATCCTAGAGTCTTGATTGCATTCAAAGCCGCGCCTGTATTGATATCAGCCTTTCTTCTAGGGAGAGCAACCATCAATCGTATCGCGATGATAAAGTGGTGCGGAAACGGGGCGTTAGGTGCAGTCGTGAAGAAGTTCTCCGATAGTCCATACTATTGCTCCGTCGCTTGTTCGAGGAAAGGTCATATATCTCCAACAGACGTCGAAGATACCAATCATGAAGATTCAAGCGAAAATCAAACCTATCAAATAGAACTCGGGGTGGCTCAGGCTATTTAAAATTGATGTATCGAGTGTATATCTATCGTCTATTCCTCTATAGCACAAGAGGTGGTATAACTTCCAAAAAACACTCCAACCATCACTAATCGTTCAATACAAGACATATGATACAGGTATCGCCCTAAAGATCCACAAACCCAACCTTCTTTCTTCCGGCAATTGGGGTACCATCTCTTCCAGCGGGCTCGGATGTCGCGCAGGCGGCCCTCTATAACAACGTATTGCTGTCATGGGCGTTGCAAGCGGTGCGTCTCTAGTGGGAACCGGTCTTGGTACTGGGCTTCTTGCTAGACTTCTTGCTAGATTTGCTGCCAGAGGAGTTGCCAGAGGAGTTGCCAGAGCTGCTGCCACTATTATTTGTAGTAGCATCCACAGTAGCAGTGGTAGTGGCTCTGGTAGTAGTCGTCGTAGTAGTTGTGGTGGTAGGACTGTCCTCAATATTACTGCATTTCTTGAAACCATTGCTTAGACCCGGAATATGATACAGCGACCCGAGATAGTCGCCATTCCCTTTCATGATAACACGGTACTTTCCCGGTGCGCCACCTTCCTCAGATGTATTAGCACAATCCCATACATTGGAACGGAGAGTTCAAGAAAAAGCAATATTGGGGCAGCTTACCTGTATATGTCCCACCCGAGACCAACGGATACTCTTTCATATTTTGAGCATTAAAGAGGCCTTCGTGGTTTGCATAGGCCGATGGATATCTCCCACCACCGCCATTTTTGGACTGGTTGATGGCGTTTTTGATATCATTTATGGTGAATCTCTTCCCATCGCAGTCAACATCTTTGATTGTTTTGCGGGCGCGGGTAACAAGAGTACTAGGCTCATCGGCCGATGGGTTGGCGATGGGGCTAGCGACTGCAGTGAGAGCCAGGGCTAGTAAAAGGGTGGGCTTGAGACTGAAAAGCATCTTGACTTATGTTCTTAACTGGAAACAAAATGTCTGAGTTGGAAAGAGTGTGTTGACGGAGATTTGTCAAATGAGAGACTGGTATTGAAAGTAGGAGAGAATTGTTGAGTGAGTGACTTGATTGCGAGATGAAAATTTGGAACGGTGGTGCAAAGAGCCAGTCTTTATACCCTTCTCTGTGACTGTATTCTGCCATGTACTACTATGACTGAGGAGGTTGAGCCCTCAAAAACGGTTTTCAGCCCCAAGGAATGTCTCAGTTGTCTATAGAGTATACAACCTCGCTTAGCTATGTATATCCGCATGGTGGGGGTTAGAAGGGGGCCAAAAAGAGATTAGACAGCTGCCAACTGGACCGAACCGAAAATCGTCTCTGCTAGTAGAATCCCGGTGCACTGAGATCCATCTACGAAATGGGGGCCGGGCGATCTTTGACGCTGCAGCTTACGGGCCAACGGTGCCACCCGCACACGTTAGGACCCCTTTACTGTGAAAATCACCTGGCGAATGCGGGGTTTGATCCTATATAATGTGGAGTTGTCTCACAGTTCGTATTCTTAATATAGGAAACAAATGTTTCATTTACCCTCCAGGAGCGCGAAGGAGGCCTGTTGGAAACAGTTGGCTGGTCAGGTTTTTAGTGCTAACCGCTTTCCAGGCAGCCCCAACGCCCTTCACTTTGAATCGATCAAATCGTGTCGTGATCCATCTTTATCCCACCCCCGAAATGCACCCCTCATCATGGAGAACTTCGCTGAAGAATATCTTGCACGACCGGAATATCAAACTATCACTGAATTGATCCAGGATCCCGATAGACTATGTTCAAAAATGGGATGTATATATATGGTTGCCAAGGGCACAGCACATCCAGCTCAGAAATGTCTGTGTAAGATAAGAGAGAACTTGTGATATATATGATTCTGTAGTAGATTTGTCAGAAATGGAGTATTTTCCATTCTGAAAGAATATGAAAAAATTTGAATTATGATTGTAATAATTAACGAGTATATACCTAAGCTAAACAGAGTAGATAAAATAGAAAACGTACCTGTACTATAGCTACTCTAGCTAATACATCACTATGAATCTGCCTCTTGCTTGGCCATACTAACGCCTTGCCTGCTATGAACTCATGCAATCATCTGAAGAGATTGAATATGATTACTCACTCACTGTACGATATTAGGTATCGCATGAGTTTTAGAATTGATTGTACAGTATTCAAATAGTCAGATATAAATATCTACAATCTGGGGCTATCGATACAATGTAAGAAAATTAGATTCCTCGAAATATTACCACCACCATTGATTCAATGAAACAAGTGTCTCTCTATCAGATCTTCTCTTCTAAAACTGAGACTCAGTGGATGTAGGTCTATGTGGAAAGAACTGCATCAGGGCTATTTTATAACTGCTCAATCATACAAAACTAAAGTACAGGACCCATGACTATGTCAGCTCCGCTATTCCCACCTCCCCACCATCCTCTGTTGGAACATCTTCCTCGATGGTCTAACGGTCATGACTTTCACCTGCGCCTTGGTAGGCAGTGAAGTAAAGTGACTTCAGTGGCTACTAGCCTTCTTACCCGACTTGCTGCTAGACTTACTGCCAGACTTGCTGCCGGACTTGTGACTTGTGTTGCCACTACTAGCCTTGGTAGTAGCAGTGGTGGTAGCCTTAGTAGTAGTGGTGGTGGTGGTGGTAGTGGTGGTGGTAGCAGTGTCCGCGAGATTCGTGCACTTTTTGAATGAGTTCCCAGGGATATGATAGACCGATCCAAGATACGTGTAATTTTCATCCATAATGACGCGGTAATTTCCCGGTGGTCCGGCATTCGTCTCTGTTACATTTCCAATTCTGTTAGCGCATGCTCGTCGCCTCTGATACTCGCTGTCGAACAAAAAGAAAGCGCAGAAAAGAAGCAGTAAAGGGGTGACTTACTTCCGCTATAGGTTCCGGAGACCAACGGGTACTCATAAAGGGTGCGTGAAGAGCCAAACAATTTCTCGCCATTACCATATACCTCGGGGTATTTGCCGTAGGCCTTGGCGTTTGTCTGCCTCTTATCTTCAACTACCTTGGATTGTTCAATGGCATTATGAATGTCTGCTTTGGTGAACTTTTTACCATTGCAATCGACGTCTCTTCTAGGAGCGCGGGCGACCAGGATGTTGCCCTCATCGACCGTCGGGTTGGCGATGGGGGTGGCAATTGCAGTGAGGGCCAGGGCCAGGAGAATGGTGGGCTTGAAGCTGAACAGCATCTTGGATGGAAGGAATGTGTTGTGTTCGGGGTTTGCTTGAAGGAAAGATTGGTAATAAAAGTATGGATCGATTGTTTAAATGAGTGACTGAGTTCATGGCAAGAGGCAAGCAGGACCAGTGATGCGAAGGGACAGGTTTTATACCCTGGTGCATGGTTTGCATCGTATCATAAGCAATAGAGACCAAGGACGTTGAAGCCCCCACGAGCGTCTCGGCCCCCAAGAAGTGTCTCAGAGGTCTATACAGCGTACACCTTCATTTAGCTATTTATACTCCAATGATGGGGGCCATTATGGGGCCAAATGGTATCAGACTCCTACCAGCTAGACTAGAATGAGAGGCCGATGATCGGGTAGCGTTGCATCTGGATCTCCCTACCAAGTGGGGGCCGGGCCATCTTTGAGGCTGCAACGGCATCTCCCGCACATGTTAGGGCCCTGTCATATGAAAAGCATCCGCCAGAGGTGGGGATCTTGTCCTTTGCAAAGTGGGGGCTGCCTCAGGGGATGATTCTTTGTGCGACCAACACACAAGGCTGAACACGATCATCTCTGTGTTGGAAACGGTTGGCTGATCAATTCATTAGTGCTGACCGCTTTCCAACCGGACCCCACGCTCATTATTTAAAGCACTCCAAGCGTGTCTTGCACCTTGTTTCCTCCAAAACCTCGAAGCCACCATCATGGAAGAGACCATCAGGGAAGAGCTCGGCGAAGAACTCGTTGTGCGACCAGAATTCCAAGTCATTAATGACTTGCTTCAGAATCCCGATGTTACACCCACTGAGGCAGTCCAACGGCTTCTACGGGTACGAGAGAACCTACACCATGGACAAGAACCCCCGTCTGAAATTGATGGCAACCATACATGGTTCACCATGCTCCTGCTCGTAGAGATCATAAATCTCACCCCACCTGCAAAGCAGCGCAAGCTCATTGAATTCATTGCTGAGCTCCAACGTGTTGACCTTACCGATCCTGCTACCGGCCAGTCGCCCACGGCGATCGAGCTGAAACTATGGACGGAGCTTCCATACCTCGAACTATACTTGGCTGATATGTATGGATTCAGATTCAAAGCTGGTACGTCTATTTTCCTCATTAATCAACCCGTGATTAACTTTATCAGAATATGCCCGGCAGGTCGATGAGGATCCCCAGACGGAGTATCCTCCAAGCAAGCTTCAGGAGTGGGAGAACCGGAATGCTTTTATGGCGCAGCTTACTGCGAAGGCAGAGCACCTCCGCCATCCCATGGATGTATCTCTGTATGCTCTGTACTCGTGCCGATCGGCATTCGAGGAAGGGCCGCTGATAGAGGAGGCCGTGCGCACTGCATGTATCTGGTATATCCATGCGGGCCAGCGTGTGTGGGAGAATTGTCAAATCGAACGGGAATATGGAGATGACGATGATCCGCCTCCACGCCGGCGCTTTAGTATGGAAAAATGGCGCATTTGGAAAGATAGATTGAAGGTGGCACAACTTGAGTTTCCCAGGGAAAGTACGCAGGAGATGATACGGAAGGCGTTGGAAGAGATTGAGAAAGCGGAGCGGGAAGAGTGAGGATCCGGAGAAGGTGATGGAAGAAGGTATTCCACTGGATATTAGCTCGGTAATGAATCAAGGCACATCACGCCCTTAATATTGAATGTGCAGGAATTTTGATTCTGCTTATTTTATCTTGCAACCTGCCAGAAGCTCCAGTGATGTAGGTATCAGCTGCGTGTGATGCATCTGTAAGTCGATCAGGGTGCATATCAACACCACGGTACAGTCATGGCATGAAAGCTTTCGAGTAATCAATAGTACAACTTGCAGACGGAGACAAGGACACAACTTGGGTATCCTTATATCAGAGACATTTGCGGAAGTGTAGGAATCCAGGGAAAAAACTATGAAGGAGAAAGGTGCGTAGGAATTTGTGAAGCTGGAGGCGAAGCAGGGTTAGCGAGTAAGTTGCACAGTAACAGCCAGACCCATGGTGTGCCCCACAAAGGGACCCAGGAAAGACTTCATCGAAGGCCGTACAAAAGGGGATCTCGATGGTCTTATCATGTGGTATTTTATGATACATATCACTGACTTTCGGTTTGAGTATACCGCTCAGGGTTGCCAGGAAGAACCGGAAGACTTTCACGAAGCCTCAGGCAGACTGTTCGGCCCCAGGCTACAGTAATGAAATAGGCAGGATCTCTACCGACCATCATGTTCAGCCTTGCCTACGGAAACGGAAGGTGTGACAGGAGCCAACACAGCAAAACAACGCGATATGCAAACCGTCCGTGAAGAACGCAAGTCTCTAAGCATCATACCTCTATCAAACTCTACCAATGCAGAAACCCTGTTTGCCTCCATTTTTGAATGTACTGTCGCACCACCTCCTCGCTCACAGGGCCCAGTGCTCGTAGCGAAGGCGACCTTTCGCGTGCACGCGAAGTGTCCAGCAACAGTCCCCCGCACGACATGCGCTCAAAATTATCACTTAGCCAATTGGTCATCACACTGGCAGGATTGTCTTCTCGCGTTCCGGGGAACTCTTTGACTCGTTGGATCCATTCGGGAAATGGAATAATTTTGTCTGGTGAAATGTTCAACTCTTGCCCGAGGAGCCTTATCATATCAGACCACGACTGACGGGCCGCATTATCAATATGATATATTGAGTGTGGATCTTTTGTAAAGAGAAGGTCCAATAGGGTGGCTGCAACGAAATTCACCGGTGTCCA